AATATATTATTTTTTATTATTGAAATACATAGATAAATATTTTTTATGTCAAATTACTGCAAACTACAACAAATGTACAAACTTTTGTTTATCTGGCAAAAAATATTTTAAAGAATATAAATCAATATAATTAATCTTGCATACAGGATGTATATAATCTATTTACATATTATAACTGAATTATTAGTATAAACCAGGCATATATATGATTGAATTGTACCATTAATATTAACGTAATTTATTTCGTAAAGGGACGTTTAGATTTAATGTAATGAAATACGGGGTGTCTACAAATTCTAGAGAATTTTTAGTGGCTAATTATTACAGTAAAACGTAAATATTGTCTAAGAAACATCAATGTAGTAATGTATTTCTTTAAAAAAATTACATAAAATTAAATCTTCTATAGACCTCTTGTAAATACAGAATAGGTATCTACAAATCGTGATGTATCTTTTTCAAGCTAATTAATGTTAAAAACGTAACAATTGCTTATATTCAGAGTCTACAGGCTTTGATTAAAATGGTACAGGGTGTCTACATAGTCTAAAATGATTCAGAACGTAATTATTTCTGTAAAACGTTAACATCCCTGTTAATTTACCTTCCATAGGAAATCTGTAGCCAAAAGAAAGCCAAATTATTTAAAACTGACGTTTTGTCTACAAATTAAAATAATTTTTATTGGTGATAAAGGCCAAGCGTCTAAGGAATAAAAATAAAAGTAATTTTTTACTTATTTATTTTTGTTTTTTAACAACAATATAATATTGACACAAGAATTACAATAATTATTATTTAGTTTAATAACTATTTTACAATATATTTATTACATAATTGCATTTAAATCTTAAAGCTTTACAATATGCTTAAAGTAATACATTAAAACTGCATCATCATCAATAATAAACAACATAACATAATTGCAATAATCACTTAATACTTTCTTATAATAATAATAATAATATAATTAAAATCTCTACCTGACATATCCAAAAAAAGTATTTAATTTCACTTCACTTTGGTTTGTAGCTTAATCGTAGGGCAAACTAAATGGGCAATACTACACTGTGGATTATAATTGTAGCAGAAATTAATTAATTACAATATTTAACGGTGATTAAGCAACTTTTCCCTGTCAGGCAATTGACGTACTTTCATGCTACCGTCAGCCCCACAAGAAAAAAGTCGGGCGTGGGAATCGATGTGAAGCTGAGTAACACCCTGTCCAATATTCTTAAAGAAACTGCTACGGGAATGCTCACCAGCCAAATTCAATAATAATGTTGGGATTGCCACACCCCATATCTGAAAAAACATATATTTTATTATAAATATAAAATGAAAAGAAATATTGCCCCATAACTGCAAAATAAGCAATAAAACTGTTAACGACAACTAAGTAAAGAGTAGAAGCATAAAAACAAAAATTGTTTTTATTTCACTTTACCTTGATTTCTCCATCTGCAGATCCAGTGGCAAAGTACTCTTCATGTGGATCAATAGCAACACATTTGACGGCATTTTCATGAGCTTGGAATCGATGCCTAATAGTACGACTTCTGACATCAATCAAGCAAACATCCCCACGTTTACCAGTGGTCACAAGTACCTGGTGTTGGGGTGCATAAACCAAACTGTTTGCTCCTTGATCGTGGCACGTAAAGGCGTGTACCAGAGCTTTATTATGTGGTAAAACTGAGTCCCAAATGCAAACGTTCCTGTTCTCTGAACTGTGACCAACTATAAAAAATAAATAAAAAAGACAAATATACAGAAATAAGTTAAGTGTTCTTTTTTTAATCACCTGTAGCTAGAAGACTGCAAGAACCGAGAAAAACGAAGTCTGTTATGCCCTTATTATGGCACTGATAGGTCTACAAAGAAATTAAATTAAATTACTCCTAAACATTTACACCACAACTTTACAAATTTCTTTATTTATTTTGAAGTGTACTCACAAAGAATGGTCTGGTTGCATTAACACTAAGTCCCACTTGCCAAAGACTTAAATTTCCATCGGCATCTGCCACCCCAAATTTGTTTCCATGTTGAGAAAACCTGACCCTTGTAACTTTGGCGTAAGTGCCGGGTGGACGTGGTACAGCTATGGGTTGTGCGTGGCCCCATTCCCATAATGTGACTGAGCCATCAGCACTTCCAGTCAGGTCTAATTTATTTAAGTTCTTATTTATTGCTTGTAAAACAATACTAGCTTTCTACTTACATAAGGGCATTAAAGGGTGGGAACAAATCCTTCTTACACCATCTATTTTGTGTTTCATTACCTAAATAGTTAAGGAGTAGTTAATTAACGTTTAATTGGAATAAAGTTAGTTATTAGGTGGCATGCTAAATAAATAAGTATCTATATATAAACTACCATATATTATTGCTAAGTAAATGGTAAAAAAAATGTAACATGCATTTACGATAAAAGGCGCTTATTACATACAGTAATAGCATATGAAGATGATTAAATATATTTTTTAATAGTTTCTTTCCACAAAAATTTCTGTTAAAACAAGAAATTTTTAATGTAATAAGTAGACCTTATTTTTAGAAAATAGAAATAGTTTACGATATAAATATTGAAATTCGATAATTTAGTTAAACGGTACGTTTAATTTTTTTATGTCAACTGCCCTGCTCAGTAGGTAAAGAAACTATTTAATTTTTCGAAAATGGAAACAAAATTATAATTTATCAAAATATGAAGAAAATCTGGAAATACAGATAACATTTAACAAGTATTTATGTGTAACAAACTCCTAAAATAAGAAAACTGGGGCAAAACTAATGTTTATGTAGATAAACTATTTTAAGCATCTAAGTTTGTACAGAATGGCCTGTTCATCAAAAAGTATTTAAAATAATTAGTTTCAAATAAACTTTTCTTTTACAAATCCTGATTCATACTAAAGTAATATCTATTGCTATTACTACTACCCCAAAAACTTTAATGTTTATTACAAGAAAAACAGAAAGTAGATGAATGTACCACCCTGTACAACAATAAACAACATTTAATAACAAGCACTGAACAAAGCAGTGGATGGGACACAATGGAACACAAACCGGCCGAAGCATATGAGCCGATCTTAGCAGAACACGACGGACAAAGTTGGGATCGTGACTGCCAGGAAACGACAAACCCTTCATCTAAAAAACGATTTCAAGAAGACAAACAACGAGATATGACGTATCGACATTTTAAACTGCTTTTTTTTAACAGTAAATTGCTTGGATTAAAAATAATTACATAAATACCTACCACAAAAAATACATTATTTTTAGATATGACAAGGACCAATACCTTTAGAAGTGCAATATGTTAATAAACTATAAAATTGTCAAGTCTTGCAGTTAGTTCAGTAAGCGTTAATATATTGCAATGAAATTTAATAAGCTCAAAACTCGACTTATGTTAGTTGGAACTTAATTTTGTAGTTTGAATTGTGAATGATATTTACCACGGTGGCTCCTCGGCCTGTTTGACACCCGTAACCGGGCTGTGGGCTACCCGTCGATGGTGTCTGTTGTTGCTGCTGCTGTTGTTGTTGTTGTTGCAACTGATCCTTCGTTTTATCACCGGCACTCTGTATAACCAAGAAGGGGGGAGCCGTTGAAGTATCTGGCAACTCCTGCTTCAAACCCAAAATATCCAGTTCACATTCATCCTTCAGCCACGCAGGAAGTTCCAAAAGTAACGAAATGTCCATTTCCTGGAGTTCTCTTGGCGTACCGACCACTATCGATCCATTATGTACCTAACAAGAAATAAATGTCAATAAAGATAAACTCCTTGACATTGTTTGCATTTACCTGATTAATACTGAAAGCTGATATGGAGTCCTGCTCTTTGTGAATTATCCTAACAGGGTCTTCCACTTCTTCTTGATGAGGTACAACCTCGTCGATACTGATTATCGATCTTCTTTTACCAAATACAGCGCGAATGAAAATGTCTTGAACGATCTCCTTGTGTACTAGGAAAGTCCATAGTCTGCGCACTGCACTAGCGCAGCTTTTATTAATGAACGGAGTATTTTGGGGCTCCAAAAGTTGTCTAAACACAATTAAACAATAGCAATGCCCTTTATCATAGGTTGTTTGGTCTTTTACCTGTATTTGTGTATTAGAGGACCCGTAGTATGTTCTGCGAAACACCCTGGTATGTATTCAGGTGGGGGTTGTCTTGAATCGAGCTCGGCTTTCAAGGACTCTTGCCAATAAGTAAGTCTTCGCAATGTGCTGTGTATTAAGGGGCTGGCAACAGGTAATTCCGAACTCTCTAGTCCGGCAATCTATTAAATAATTGTATAATTAATTGAAGACAGTAAAAAACCTCAAAAAATACTTACACAAAAAAATTCGGTAAGATTATGATGTACTATTCTTAGAGTAGCCAATTTAAGTACTAGCCACGAATAGGAATTGGGATCTGAATGTTCCAAGTTGTTTATTTCTTGTTCGGGCGCATCAGTGTCAAATACGTCTTCTTCCTCGCTTTCAGAGTCGCTGGAAACATCATCGCAGTCCGGTCCTGCATCCGGCTAGCAAATAAAATAGCAATTACGTTGAAAAATGCGCAAGCTTGTTGTTACATACCTTTGTAAGCAAGTAGGCCAACATGCTCATTTCTGGAGGTACAAATTGCTCTCTGTAAGTTGCTTTATCCTCTTTCATTGTAAGTGGTTGATGCCCTAATAGTTTACAGTTTAATTTCACCCTCTGCTTGTTCAGCCACATAGCAGGACCACTGCCCTCCTCCGAAGGGGTACTCTGGATACTTGGTTGACTTTGGGGTACACTGGCAGTTCGCAATAACTTCTTTGTACCCCCACCAAATAATCTAATTATAAATCATTGTTTAAGTACCTGCACTTAATCATATGTATTATTAATTATGACATACTTTCCCCAAGTTTCAACTGTAAACACATGCCCGGTAACATGGAAAAGTATAACAGCGTCCATGGTACAGATGCCATACAGAAGAAGGACCATGTAGACGGCAGTAAATGATTCGCAGAGGAGAACTGTTAAACGGGGCGTGTCTTCGTCCTTCTCACGTGCTAATAAAGATCTCAAACTCGTAACGCCAGGCCATTTGGCGGGCAAAGTTGTTATTTGTTGACCCTCACTCATTGACATTCTTCTTCGACGACCCACCAGATGCGTTACAGAAGCATCCTGCATTAACAAGGAAAATAATAATAGACTGCCTATTTACATTACCCTGGAAGACTAAATCAGTACCTGGGAGTCTTGGAGACTCATTTTGAATGTATCAGAATCACAAAGAGATTGATAAATACATGCTGACAGCGCTATAGCTAAATCTCTCATCACTAGAAGTTGGTTTTGAGAAGTGGCGGGTTGCGAAAAGTCAACAGTCTGTAAATTACGTACAATAAATGATTCATATTAAAAATGCTTATTTTTTGAGATAATATTAAAGCATAAAGTNTACCGTCAGCCCCACAAGAAAAAAGTCGGGCGTGGGAATCGATGTGAAGCTGAGTAACACCCTGTCCAATATTCTTAAAGAAACTGCTACGGGAATGCTCACCAGCCAAATTCAATAATAATGTTGGGATTGCCACACCCCATATCTGAAAAAACATATATTTTATTATAAATATAAAATGAAAAGAAATATTGCCCCATAACTGCAAAATAAGCAATAAAACTGTTAACGACAACTAAGTAAAGAGTAGAAGCATAAAAACAAAAATTGTTTTTATTTCACTTTACCTTGATTTCTCCATCTGCAGATCCAGTGGCAAAGTACTCTTCATGTGGATCAATAGCAACACATTTGACGGCATTTTCATGAGCTTGGAATCGATGCCTAATAGTACGACTTCTGACATCAATCAAGCAAACATCCCCACGTTTACCAGTGGTCACAAGTACCTGGTGTTGGGGTGCATAAACCAAACTGTTTGCTCCTTGATCGTGGCACGTAAAGGCGTGTACCAGAGCTTTATTATGTGGTAAAACTGAGTCCCAAATGCAAACGTTCCTGTTCTCTGAACTGTGACCAACTATAAAAAATAAATAAAAAAGACAAATATACAGAAATAAGTTAAGTGTTCTTTTTTTAATCACCTGTAGCTAGAAGACTGCAAGAACCGAGAAAAACGAAGTCTGTTATGCCCTTATTATGGCACTGATAGGTCTACAAAGAAATTAAATTAAATTACTCCTAAACATTTACACCACAACTTTACAAATTTCTTTATTTATTTTGAAGTGTACTCACAAAGAATGGTCTGGTTGCATTAACACTAAGTCCCACTTGCCAAAGACTTAAATTTCCATCGGCATCTGCCACCCCAAATTTGTTTCCATGTTGAGAAAACCTGACCCTTGTAACTTTGGCGTAAGTGCCGGGTGGACGTGGTACAGCTATGGGTTGTGCGTGGCCCCATTCCCATAATGTGACTGAGCCATCAGCACTTCCAGTCAGGTCTAATTTATTTAAGTTCTTATTTATTGCTTGTAAAACAATACTAGCTTTCTACTTACATAAGGGCATTAAAGGGTGGGAACAAATCCTTCTTACACCATCTATTTTGTGTTTCATTACCTAAATAGTTAAGGAGTAGTTAATTAACGTTTAATTGGAATAAAGTTAGTTATTAGGTGGCATGCTAAATAAATAAGTATCTATATATAAACTACCATATATTATTGCTAAGTAAATGGTAAAAAAAATGTAACATGCATTTACGATAAAAGGCGCTTATTACATACAGTAATAGCATATGAAGATGATTAAATATATTTTTTAATAGTTTCTTTCCACAAAAATTTCTGTTAAAACAAGAAATTTTTAATGTAATAAGTAGACCTTATTTTTAGAAAATAGAAATAGTTTACGATATAAATATTGAAATTCGATAATTTAGTTAAACGGTACGTTTAATTTTTTTATGTCAACTGCCCTGCTCAGTAGGTAAAGAAACTATTTAATTTTTCGAAAATGGAAACAAAATTATAATTTATCAAAATATGAAGAAAATCTGGAAATACAGATAACATTTAACAAGTATTTATGTGTAACAAACTCCTAAAATAAGAAAACTGGGGCAAAACTAATGTTTATGTAGATAAACTATTTTAAGCATCTAAGTTTGTACAGAATGGCCTGTTCATCAAAAAGTATTTAAAATAATTAGTTTCAAATAAACTTTTCTTTTATTGTACCATTAATATTAACGTAATTTATTTCGTAAAGGGACGTTTAGATTTAATGTAATGAAATACGGGGTGTCTACAAATTCTAGAGAATTTTTAGTGGCTAATTATTACAGTAAAACGTAAATATTGTCTAAGAAACATCAATGTAGTAATGTATTTCTTTAAAAAAATTACATAAAATTAAATCTTCTATAGACCTCTTGTAAATACAGAATAGGTATCTACAAATCGTGATGTATCTTTTTCAAGCTAATTAATGTTAAAAACGTAACAATTGCTTATATTCAGAGTCTACAGGCTTTGATTAAAATGGTACAGGGTGTCTACATAGTCTAAAATGATTCAGAACGTAATTATTTCTGTAAAACGTTAACATCCCTGTTAATTTACCTTCCATAGGAAATCTGTAGCCAAAAGAAAGCCAAATTATTTAAAACTGACGTTTTGTCTACAAATTAAAATAATTTTTATTGGTGATAAAGGCCAAGCGTCTAAGGAATAAAAATAAAAGTAATTTTTTACTTATTTATTTATCGATTGCTTGTATCAGTAACTGGACGTGTTCCAGGAATAGGTAGTCCTTCTACATTTCATTTCGGTATTAACGAATGNACATAATTGCATTTAAATCTTAAAGCTTTACAATATGCTTAAAGTAATACATTAAAACTGCATCATCATCAATAATAAACAACATAACATAATTGCAATAATCACTTAATACTTTCTTATAATAATAATAATAATATAATTAAAATCTCTACCTGACATATCCAAAAAAAGTATTTAATTTCACTTCACTTTGGTTTGTAGCTTAATCGTAGGGCAAACTAAATGGGCAATACTACACTGTGGATTATAATTGTAGCAGAAATTAATTAATTACAATATTTAACGGTGATTAAGCAACTTTTCCCTGTCAGGCAATTGACGTACTTTCATGCTACCGTCAGCCCCACAAGAAAAAAGTCGGGCGTGGGAATCGATGTGAAGCTGAGTAACACCCTGTCCAATATTCTTAAAGAAACTGCTACGGGAATGCTCACCAGCCAAATTCAATAATAATGTTGGGATTGCCACACCCCATATCTGAAAAAACATATATTTTATTATAAATATAAAATGAAAAGAAATATTGCCCCATAACTGCAAAATAAGCAATAAAACTGTTAACGACAACTAAGTAAAGAGTAGAAGCATAAAAACAAAAATTGTTTTTATTTCACTTTACCTTGATTTCTCCATCTGCAGATCCAGTGGCAAAGTACTCTTCATGTGGATCAATAGCAACACATTTGACGGCATTTTCATGAGCTTGGAATCGATGCCTAATAGTACGACTTCTGACATCAATCAAGCAAACATCCCCACGTTTACCAGTGGTCACAAGTACCTGGTGTTGGGGTGCATAAACCAAACTGTTTGCTCCTTGATCGTGGCACGTAAAGGCGTGTACCAGAGCTTTATTATGTGGTAAAACTGAGTCCCAAATGCAAACGTTCCTGTTCTCTGAACTGTGACCAACTATAAAAAATAAATAAAAAAGACAAATATACAGAAATAAGTTAAGTGTTCTTTTTTTAATCACCTGTAGCTAGAAGACTGCAAGAACCGAGAAAAACGAAGTCTGTTATGCCCTTATTATGGCACTGATAGGTCTACAAAGAAATTAAATTAAATTACTCCTAAACATTTACACCACAACTTTACAAATTTCTTTATTTATTTTGAAGTGTACTCACAAAGAATGGTCTGGTTGCATTAACACTAAGTCCCACTTGCCAAAGACTTAAATTTCCATCGGCATCTGCCACCCCAAATTTGTTTCCATGTTGAGAAAACCTGACCCTTGTAACTTTGGCGTAAGTGCCGGGTGGACGTGGTACAGCTATGGGTTGTGCGTGGCCCCATTCCCATAATGTGACTGAGCCATCAGCACTTCCAGTCAGGTCTAATTTATTTAAGTTCTTATTTATTGCTTGTAAAACAATACTAGCTTTCTACTTACATAAGGGCATTAAAGGGTGGGAACAAATCCTTCTTACACCATCTATTTTGTGTTTCATTACCTAAATAGTTAAGGAGTAGTTAATTAACGTTTAATTGGAATAAAGTTAGTTATTAGGTGGCATGCTAAATAAATAAGTATCTATATATAAACTACCATATATTATTGCTAAGTAAATGGTAAAAAAAATGTAACATGCATTTACGATAAAAGGCGCTTATTACATACAGTAATAGCATATGAAGATGATTAAATATATTTTTTAATAGTTTCTTTCCACAAAAATTTCTGTTAAAACAAGAAATTTTTAATGTAATAAGTAGACCTTATTTTTAGAAAATAGAAATAGTTTACGATATAAATATTGAAATTCGATAATTTAGTTAAACGGTACGTTTAATTTTTTTATGTCAACTGCCCTGCTCAGTAGGTAAAGAAACTATTTAATTTTTCGAAAATGGAAACAAAATTATAATTTATCAAAATATGAAGAAAATCTGGAAATACAGATAACATTTAACAAGTATTTATGTGTAACAAACTCCTAAAATAAGAAAACTGGGGCAAAACTAATGTTTATGTAGATAAACTATTTTAAGCATCTAAGTTTGTACAGAATGGCCTGTTCATCAAAAAGTATTTAAAATAATTAGTTTCAAATAAACTTTTCTTTTACAAATCCTGATTCATACTAAAGTAATATCTATTGCTATTACTACTACCCCAAAAACTTTAATGTTTATTACAAGAAAAACAGAAAGTAGATGAATGTACCACCCTGTACAACAATAAACAACATTTAATAACAAGCACTGAACAAAGCAGTGGATGGGACACAATGGAACACAAACCGGCCGAAGCATATGAGCCGATCTTAGCAGAACACGACGGACAAAGTTGGGATCGTGACTGCCAGGAAACGACAAACCCTTCATCTAAAAAACGATTTCAAGAAGACAAACAACGAGATATGACGTATCGACATTTTAAACTGCTTTTTTTTAACAGTAAATTGCTTGGATTAAAAATAATTACATAAATACCTACCACAAAAAATACATTATTTTTAGATATGACAAGGACCAATACCTTTAGAAGTGCAATATGTTAATAAACTATAAAATTGTCAAGTCTTGCAGTTAGTTCAGTAAGCGTTAATATATTGCAATGAAATTTAATAAGCTCAAAACTCGACTTATGTTAGTTGGAACTTAATTTTGTAGTTTGAATTGTGAATGATATTTACCACGGTGGCTCCTCGGCCTGTTTGACACCCGTAACCGGGCTGTGGGCTACCCGTCGATGGTGTCTGTTGTTGCTGCTGCTGTTGTTGTTGTTGTTGCAACTGATCCTTCGTTTTATCACCGGCACTCTGTATAACCAAGAAGGGGGGAGCCGTTGAAGTATCTGGCAACTCCTGCTTCAAACCCAAAATATCCAGTTCACATTCATCCTTCAGCCACGCAGGAAGTTCCAAAAGTAACGAAATGTCCATTTCCTGGAGTTCTCTTGGCGTACCGACCACTATCGATCCATTATGTACCTAACAAGAAATAAATGTCAATAAAGATAAACTCCTTGACATTGTTTGCATTTACCTGATTAATACTGAAAGCTGATATGGAGTCCTGCTCTTTGTGAATTATCCTAACAGGGTCTTCCACTTCTTCTTGATGAGGTACAACCTCGTCGATACTGATTATCGATCTTCTTTTACCAAATACAGCGCGAATGAAAATGTCTTGAACGATCTCCTTGTGTACTAGGAAAGTCCATAGTCTGCGCACTGCACTAGCGCAGCTTTTATTAATGAACGGAGTATTTTGGGGCTCCAAAAGTTGTCTAAACACAATTAAACAATAGCAATGCCCTTTATCATAGGTTGTTTGGTCTTTTACCTGTATTTGTGTATTAGAGGACCCGTAGTATGTTCTGCGAAACACCCTGGTATGTATTCAGGTGGGGGTTGTCTTGAATCGAGCTCGGCTTTCAAGGACTCTTGCCAATAAGTAAGTCTTCGCAATGTGCTGTGTATTAAGGGGCTGGCAACAGGTAATTCCGAACTCTCTAGTCCGGCAATCTATTAAATAATTGTATAATTAATTGAAGACAGTAAAAAACCTCAAAAAATACTTACACAAAAAAATTCGGTAAGATTATGATGTACTATTCTTAGAGTAGCCAATTTAAGTACTAGCCACGAATAGGAATTGGGATCTGAATGTTCCAAGTTGTTTATTTCTTGTTCGGGCGCATCAGTGTCAAATACGTCTTCTTCCTCGCTTTCAGAGTCGCTGGAAACATCATCGCAGTCCGGTCCTGCATCCGGCTAGCAAATAAAATAGCAATTACGTTGAAAAATGCGCAAGCTTGTTGTTACATACCTTTGTAAGCAAGTAGGCCAACATGCTCATTTCTGGAGGTACAAATTGCTCTCTGTAAGTTGCTTTATCCTCTTTCATTGTAAGTGGTTGATGCCCTAATAGTTTACAGTTTAATTTCACCCTCTGCTTGTTCAGCCACATAGCAGGACCACTGCCCTCCTCCGAAGGGGTACTCTGGATACTTGGTTGACTTTGGGGTACACTGGCAGTTCGCAATAACTTCTTTGTACCCCCACCAAATAATCTAATTATAAATCATTGTTTAAGTACCTGCACTTAATCATATGTATTATTAATTATGACATACTTTCCCCAAGTTTCAACTGTAAACACATGCCCGGTAACATGGAAAAGTATAACAGCGTCCATGGTACAGATGCCATACAGAAGAAGGACCATGTAGACGGCAGTAAATGATTCGCAGAGGAGAACTGTTAAACGGGGCGTGTCTTCGTCCTTCTCACGTGCTAATAAAGATCTCAAACTCGTAACGCCAGGCCATTTGGCGGGCAAAGTTGTTATTTGTTGACCCTCACTCATTGACATTCTTCTTCGACGACCCACCAGATGCGTTACAGAAGCATCCTGCATTAACAAGGAAAATAATAATAGACTGCCTATTTACATTACCCTGGAAGACTAAATCAGTACCTGGGAGTCTTGGAGACTCATTTTGAATGTATCAGAATCACAAAGAGATTGATAAATACATGCTGACAGCGCTATAGCTAAATCTCTCATCACTAGAAGTTGGTTTTGAGAAGTGGCGGGTTGCGAAAAGTCAACAGTCTGTAAATTACGTACAATAAATGATTCATATTAAAAATGCTTATTTTTTGAGATAATATTAAAGCATAAAGTACATAAATATACCGAATAATATTGCCTATATTCAGCAACACAAAAAAATAAATTTGAACTACTATATTATTAGAGCAATATAAGACATACGAAAATGAATGAAGACATGTATATTAACATCAATAAAATATTTATGTGTAAACATCAAAAAGCCAAATTATTGTTATTACATACATTTTTATAATATACAGGTGCTTTACGTTCTCTGTAACTTTTAAATAACCGTGGGTGTTAATAATACATACAATTCATAACGATTTAAAATGGAACTCTGTTATGATCAGGATAATATACTTAAAAAGACCTTGTATGTATGTATTTGTTAAATAGTGAATGATTCCGTGCCATTTCGAGTGTCGCATATCCTTCGCAATGTGACCAAGTTCATCGCAATTAGTGCATACAAAACAAAAAGAGAAAGAGAGAGAATAATATTAATTGGGAAGTACAAGTAATACATCATAATTAGGGCATTTTTTCTTCATTGCAAAGCTAATGTAAAACATCTACGTTCACATTACGTACGCTATCACTGGAACCGCTATAGAAGAAAATTGATTTTGAACCATGACAATTAAATTGACGCACAGCCTTAAGCCATAGACGTTTCCATTTCTCAGTCTTAGGCGCTTTGAAAAGTTTTTTTCGGGCGGTCTTATTCTCAAATTTGAACAAGGACGAATAATAATCCACCTACATACACATAACTCGAACGTATTAACGACAAATTACATAAAAAACAGAATATACATTTTATAAATATCTTTTGTGTAATCTCAAGCATCTTTTCTAGCCAAAATATAAAATATACTGAAATTTCCAAGTGTTTGACTGCGAATTTTTATACTCATATAATAATGTTTAACCAGCAAACACATTTAAATTACTAAAATTTTAAAAATTAATTAGCTTACCGTATGCAGAATATCATGAGTCATACTCTGAAGATATCGAATAGGATCAGCAATGACAGTCCTACTGCTAGAGACACTAGCGGCAAGCAACGGTAAACTAGTAGGGAAGGGTAGAGGGCTCAGAAGTTGCTGTTGCGTCTTTTCTTGCTGCAATTCCTGAAGAAGTAACATCAGTTCCATCCTCACTGATGCCAAACCACCTGTTGCTCCATGCAGTGAGCAATAACTCAACAAAGTTCGCAGTAATGTTTCATTTGCTAAAAATAAATAAAAACAAAAGTCAATTATCATGATAATAATTATAAAGTACCTTTAAGCCATCTCTTTCGCCGTACAGCTCTCTGAACTTTGGCCTCAAAGTCCATTTTTTCCTGAACTAATATTTCATGTAAAGTGGGAGTACGAGTCAAGTCCACATTGTGAGAACTAATGTCTCCTTCCATTGTCTGTTCCAAATCTTGAGGATCGACTTGATCTGTCGATGTGTAGTTACAAAGCTCTCTCAAAGCCTCCACCTCCTTTTCCAGCCAAATGTACAGTTGGTATCGCAACTGGCCACCTTCAAAACATTTATTTAAGAAACTGAAGGGTTTGTTGTTTAGGTTTAATACCATCAACTTCAAAACCTGTTGCAAGTGTTGACAGTTCTTCCATAAGAATTTTTAGACAAGCTATGAACTTCAATTGCTGAGCCATTATGTCAATCTGTTCTACTTCGCCCTCTTGCTCGCTATCGCCCTTAACCTTTTCTTCCTCTTTTGTTTCGTTGTCTTCTTTGTTACCAATTTTCATGCTTAAACCACCACCTTCTGAATCATCGGAATCCTCTTTTTCTTCATCTGACCAATCCAATTTCAAATCGTCAGTCTTGGTGGCAAAATCGATAACGGGGGCACCCCAGTCCAAATTATCGGGTTTATCTTCGGTCAAATTAGGTTTGCTGTCCCAAGATAAAATTCCAGAACTTATCTGCACCTCTGACGTCCTCTCCTGTGGTGTAGTAACTAAGAAAAAAGAGAATTTGTACGTATAATTAGCCCTTTCCATTTTTGGTAAATTAATTAGTTATTACCTGGTGTGACTTTAAACGGATCAGTGACAATCATAGGTAATTTTGATAACACTTCCAAGGCCAAAGCTGGGCATCCAGCCCTAAAATGACCATGAGCTGTTGTGAAATATAATTGTCGCTCTGCAGGAGTAATAGAGTCCTCAACAACAACCTGAAAACATTTCATTTAAGTTTAATTAAACTCATGTTTTTTAATGGTATTTCACCTGTTTCCCAGTTGGAAGCCAGACCTTTCTCTGTCCATAATTTGCCATATGGTGTCTGATTAACAAAGGGTGGGTGCGCAGATAAGTGTAAAAGTTGAACACATTAGGATCTGCTTGGTTTGAATCTTTGGAGTCCTCGTCCTTGGCAGGATGCTGAGAGCCGGCATTGCCAATTAGCAAAGTATTTAACGAATCCTGATACTCCTTAAGGATCCACAGGGACATTGATCGTAAAAATGGATCGGGGTGAGCCTTGGTCAAATCCTGATTATTACCTGAAATAATAAAAGAATATATTTATTGAAAACGTCCAAAATTAATTTGCAATAATAATAATGACTAATATTTTACCTTCTGAGTTACAACCCAATATTTCAACATATAGCAGTCTTCGCAAAGATTCTCCATCACCTTCATATAAGCGCACTATTATTATTGCCAGTTGTATGTCTTGCAATTTGTTAAGAACAACCTAAATATTGAAATATAACGATATTTGTAAATACAACCCAAATTGGTTAATATTGTACATACTTCAACCGCGTCCTTTAAATGTCCTGCAAGTAAAAAGAACGCTGCTGCATGATCAAACCTTTGTTTCCCCAGAAGGGCGTAGGCATTCTTCAGGGCCGATTTCCTCCATTTGTCGTCTTTAAAATCATTGGAAAAGAAGGATGTCATTCTTTCGTCACGTTTAGATCTGTGGCGAATATAAACGGTACAAGAGATGATTATATAAGATATACAATATCATTACCTGTATAATCCCCACAGTAAACTTTTCTTGTTCATTGCCAAATAATAAAGGGCTGCGTCCATAGGATCTTGTTTAACTTGATACGCTGCCTTGGCCAACATTTGTACACACTCTTTCAAAACTGTAATGTTTCTGATCCACCAACCAACACCGAGCTCTCTTAAAACAGGCCAAGTTGGTTCTTTCTTTGCATAACTGGGAATCTGGTTTAAAAGTTCTTCCTGTGTTTCAGAATGGAAGGCCCAAGCTAAATTATTCGTACCAACCCCTTGTTTCTGGAATTGAGTGCGCTGGGCAAGAGGTAGACACCTAAACAAACAAATAATGTTGCAAGATAATAATTAAAACAATAATTTAATAACGAACAAATTTACCTCAATAAGTAAGTATAATGTTTCATGGCGAGCAAAAATCGTAATCCACAATCGTCTAAAGAGTCTGCTATTACTTCTGAAGACTGACCAACGTTTTCTTTTGCCATTGCATTCTTTGCAGCGTCTATCGCGAACCTTTCTGCTAAGTCTGTATTACAAGTAGAAACCGTGTCTGCTAACGCCAATAAGTGCATCTGATCCAAACTTGAAAGACCGGGAAGATGGGTATGAGTGAGCATGCGTGACAACATTCGACCTATAACCAAAGCAGTTCTAAATTAACTGGATTTAAAGGAGGTCACTACTTTTGTACCTTGTCGAGGAGTAAAATGGCCAACGCCGACATTTTTCTCTGATGATCTTCTATCAGATCTTGGCATGTCTTCTTCTAACAAACTATCAAGGGATTCTTCCATTGTTATGTTCGTGTCGAAAAGCTCGTCGTAGTCCTTTTTCTCTTCTGCTTGAACTAAACATACAATATAAATTTAAAAGCTTTCCATAGTAAACCATAATGTACCTGGTTGTTCCTTATCAGCATCTAATAGTGTCCAAAGGGGTAGTGGTGGGATATTTGTTATTTCCGCATAGTCTAAAGTTACTTCACTAATACTGGCTCTATGTTCAGGGCTTCCCGCGGGATAACTGACTGATAGTGTTCTTGCCCTAGCCCATCCTTGCATATCTTCTGAAGTATCCTGGTTGCCTCCAATACATTGGACCAAATGGGACAAAATAGCCTTTACCCACCTAATTTTACCGGAATTCAAAAGTTCCATCAACTGTTTAGGATGATACTGGGGTAAAACGGGACAAGCAATTCTGGATGCTTCAAATAATCCATAATCAGGCATATAGTCTGGATTCGCTTCTTTGTTCTTTTTACGGTCCAATATTTGCAAATTGACAGAACTAATACGACCCAAAGTGGGAACTGCGGCCAATTTTCTCTGGTTCTCTTGCGTCAACGTTCTTATATCGATTTCTCTCGCGCTTATTTCGTTAGCAGTGGACGGTCGTTGTTGCAGGGAAGGATTCTGCGGTCTCCATTGGGTGTAAACGTGCATTTCAGAGTCCATACCGACTATTAACAGACCGTCGCGCACCCAACTAATTTGCATTGGTAACGCAGGTAAACCATCAGCCGTTTGGAGTTCTATTTTACGCAATGTCATCCACTTAAAGTCGTCCACGAACATGGGCTGGGCTAAAGAACTTGCTTTACGAAGAATGGGCCTATATTTTATTAAAATCAACATCATTAGGGCATTTTTTCAAGTAAATAATTATCATTACGTACCTGTTAGCGTTCATCGATTCCTTCATAGCTTTAACGTTTGCTTGAGCTAAATCAGAAGACAGTGGTGTGTAAAGCATGATTTTATTTCCGCAGGCCACAGTTAGTATATGAGAACCATCTTCATTGGAAACCCAGTCTAACTGGACGATATGTTTTTGTGTTAAGGGACAAATGTTTCCTATTTCTGAAATCGATTTTCTCAACGACTGCAGAGTACTAAAGCTTGGTACCGCAAGCAGTGTCGACCTGGTTATTGGTTCGGTTAGGTTCTGTGTACCCTCGTTGCCTGAGAAAGTGTGTAATACTTCGTTTATCCTCTGTTTCTTTTTCAACGTCTTCTGGTCGTACAAATAGCTTAAATCCAAATGTCTATCAATCGATATTCTGGGCAAATGTATATTTTTCAGGTGTATAACATCTTCCAGGATCCACTCGGTTCCTCCGGTCGACTCGCACTCATAAATGGCAACACATAAGTTAATGTATCGAGAATCATGGTCGTTTCTGTTGGGTCTAGTAAAACTACGACCGTACTTATAAGCACAAGCCAATCTACCTGAATAAGCCACGCTAATATTCAACACTTGGCCGTCAATCTCTATAGCTGACTCTTTCACCTTAAAAGAGATAAAGAAACTCAAAAATCACAAGATAAACAAAAATATTTCCTTGTTACCATGTTCCATTCGGTCCAGACTTTGCCTGTGTTGATGATTTCGCCGTCCTCTTCAAGTAACAAACTTGCTGAATTCTTAACAGTTACTGGATTATCATCTACTGTCCAAAACCTGATGGCCCCATCACTACAAGCTGTAGCAAAACAATACGGGGCCAAACAGGCGGGATAAATAGAAGCAGAACTTAAATGTCCTGCAGCAGGGGTGGCATGAACCACTTCCACCCCGTCTGGTATGGGAAGGATCTGTTTAATCTCTTTAACTGTTTTTATGGAAACATGTGGACTTTGCTTATTTTGCTTAAAATGGAATGATTCGATACTGTTTCGACGACTTGCGTCGTTTTCATCTTGAATTATGTTACAATCGGGCACATACATTTGACTCCCTAATAAATAATATAACCGAAAAGTTTTTATAGGACAATTTGTTGATAAATTAATTACCTGTTAGGGCAAGTTCAGCCTCCGTAGAGGCAATAGTCAACTTCCACATATGTACAATTGTATGTTGATCTGTACAGTCCAACAGAACGATATAAAATGGTTGCTCAAAGACAGAATTTTGTTGCAAATCTACCATCGCATCGTCACCCGTCATATCAGCAGGTTTACTGCGTTGACCGGTGATCAGTTGCTCCTGATAAACGTGCAAAAAAGTTGTATTTTGCCATTTGATCGCTTCCGCAATCGTTTCCAATTGAATAATGCAACCAGGACGAGAAGTACTCTGCTGAGAAACGATGTTTATCTTGTCCAAAAGACTCTCTTCATCGAATGTCGATTCGTTATCAGACCTTTGATTAATTAAAAACAGAAAAAAAATCAATTGTTTATTTACTTAAAATAAACAAAACCTACGTTATACTTTCGGTAGAATCAGCACCATTGGCTTTCTTGTCCCTGTTATCTTTGCAAGAAATATCAGCAAGTAGAGTTCTAGCATCTATAACTGCTTGGTAAACCCGCAAATAATGACCATCAGAGGCTACAAAGCAAGCACTAGAAGAATTGGACAAATTCCCTAAGGTACTGGAAGGTAAGAGGGTAGGTATCCAAGCAACCACGCTAAAGGCCGAAGGCTCAGGGGAATTAATACGAGCTAATTCGCAAATTCCACCAGATTTAGACAACGGACCCACAGCATCTACTTTCCAAAGGATCAATTCACTGCAAAAACCCTTAAAGAAAATTATAAATAATAAAAAATCTTGGTTCATTTTTCAATTTTTACTTTAGTATTTGGATCTTTGTTCTTGTCAATTATGTTATGGTGAGTTGTAGTTAATAGCAAGGGTAAAACAGGATGGCAGGTGACGTCATTAACTCTGTATCGGTGTCCTGAAGCCCTGCTCCTGTGTCCAATGCTCAATACCTGGCTAAATTTGCTTTTATCCGCAAACGTTAACTGCCACAAGTTTAAAGTTCCATTATCGTGTTTAGTGACCAAACAGATAACTGGAGATGTCTCTTGGGTCTCATCAAGTTGAGGAGCAGTCTAAAAAAAATAAAAACAACTCATTTTTCAGAAAAAAAATCAACTTCACTGCTATTACTTGGTAAATTTCTTTATTTTCGTCTTCTTCCTTTACACTGGGCAGTCCTTCAGCAATCTGCAGCTTTTCCTTGATGACCTCTTTCACTAAATGTTTAAGGCGAGTAGCTGTACTATGAAGACTGACCGTTGTAGACATACTTAAAGAGTCCCCAAGAGGAAAAGCGTTCGGTATACGAGTGGAAAAGGAAACCTGAGCCTGCCTGAAAGACCCAGGGTGATACTCGTCTAACCATTCAACAACCCTAAAACAAACAGTAGGTTTTCCAGAAAGAATAACAAGAAAAGTTAACTACTGATTTACCATATCAAGAAACTACCATCTATTGGATGAATACTGAACAATAAATCGGGACTATGATGCCAGTCCCTTAGAAGAGATTCAATGCGGGCATCCAAACCATCAGAACTGTTTGTATCTAATGAAGGCTCCTCTGAACCTTCCTCAGACTCTGGATACTCTGCAACTTTCCTAAAAGACACAAGTGTAACTTGTAATTGAAGAGGGATTTGTAATAAGTCCAGAGTAAACTATAGGGAAACTTTTTAATATATATATTTAAGGTAGGAAAAATACCTCGTTAATTCTTCAAGGAGTGTTTCTGCTTGCATACTAAAGTGCATCTCTTTATTATTTAACCAATGCAAGACAAACGCAGGCTTGGGGTTACAATATGCGATACTAGGAACTAAAGGTATATCAGTTTCTGCATTTACTGAAGCTGCCAAGTGGAAATGTAGACCAGGGGTTACACCTTCAAAACAGCAAAAACACGACTCTTAAAAGAAGAGTAAGAAAAACTGTTAAAAAAATGAATTTATAGGTTTTATTGAACCAGAACTCTAAAAAAATTTTTACAAATAGGTAAAAAAATTAATTAAAAATATGTATTCTTCCAAAAAGTGCATATAAAATTTTTCTTTGTTTTTTCCTTTACTGGAAATGTAATAATTAGTTGTTATAATACAATATTTTATGCTCACTTACACACATACACAAATGCATGCATTATATAAATCAATTATATTGTTATTTTATATAAAACAGCTACTCATTTAAAATCGAGTTATTTTATTTCATATAAAAAGGACACATAATTCTGTAGATAAGTAAATCGAGCAATGTTAGTGACAAATAAATCTTTTAAAGATATTTGCAGTTAAAAGCTAGTTGCAACAAAATAACATTCTGTTAAAAAAGCTACTTGAAACAACACATATACCACTGTCACTATCCTGAAGATAAGATAAAAATACCCCCAATGTACCTTGTGAAGAATTCATCTGTGTCTTCACATTTTTAACAAATTTGTTTATTAGTTTTACCGTATCAGCTAAAGAAAGAAAAAATATAACTTCACCAACAAAAAGAAACAAATTTTATCTCATAACAAAAAGCCAAGACTTTGTTTAGCACCTTCAACAACAGCAACTAATTCCAATTTCATTTCAAAAGGGTAATATAACAAAAAGAAAAAACATTTTAATCCAACATAAAGGTCCTACCTGTTCCTCTGTATCCATAGGAATGAAAATCGTGAACGCTATAGGTGGAAGGGAGCGTTGGGATGGGGGGAGATGGTCCTACCCCCAAGTTTTGCTGTTTTGCATGTCTCCTTATATGAAAACAGGTCCTAAAACAAAAAAACATGTAATAGAGATAAGAAACAGAATGTAATTTCAATATATACTTCATGTGTTTTAATCGCTGCATGAATCGATGCTTATGACGATGCGTCCTAAATTTTGGGTGATTGGCTTGGGGATCAAGTTGGGACAAATTGACTAATCCATCCTCTGGCAAGACCGTTTCAACCCACAGTCTGCATATATTATCTTTACATGAAGTTACCAGCATATTAGACACTGAACCCCTGAAAAAAAAGTTTACTTTATAGTATTCCTACAAGCATTTTTATAAAATAACTAACTTTGGCATATATTTGCTTGTAGTTCTCCATGATAAATGTGTAACAGCTCGTGGATGAGCAATGTACACAAAACTATACTCCATTTCAGTAGGCACTTCAGTATTTCTTGATGTAAACAGAACTGAAATAGTTAAAAAAAAAATTATTTATTAAGTAAATCCACTAACAAAATATTTAACTTACAGTGTTTGTTTTCATACCAAATCTTAACAAGACGGTCATTTTCTCCTGAAGTAGCAAATAAGGTACCATCAGGACTAAATGCTAGGTGCTGAACTGGTATAGCTGTAACTGCTTTCCATACACAGATCCAAACAGTCTGCTCTTGTTCTGAATATTAAAATATTGAATTAGACAAGCTTTGCAGTATTTTATTAAGCAGTTTAGATACCATTTTCACTTCTTCTGTCTAGGTCACTTCGAATATCATCACTGTCAGCATCTCCTGTGGTCTCTCCACCCCCTATAGTAAAGGATACAGTGGCATGTTGCTGTTCTATTTCAATCTGTTGAGGTCTTAAGTGCCATAACTGCACTGTAGAACCAGCAGTTAAAAGCCTAGTTCCTTCTAAATTCCAACTTAAAGCTCTCACTGGAGAATCTGTCTTAAGACTTCCAGTTTGTACCCAGCGATAATCCAAGCCCTAATAATAATGCTTTTGAGTAAAGGAGATTTTTTGTTATAGAATTTAGGCAGAAAATTGTAGGTTCTTCACTTACATGGGATGAATTTGTATGAATTAAAGGTGTAGGTTCATATATACAAACTGTATCATTATAAGCAGCTGCTATTTTTCCTGTGTCACTTGAACAATCAACAGAACTTATATGAATATAATCATGAACTGCTCCAGGGATTATTTGGACTCTTTCAAAAGTTGAAGCAAGTATTACGATATTACTACCAGCTGCATAAGCCTAAAAACATACAAGTTTAATTAGAATTGGGTTGAAATTGTAGCACAACAAATACTTACAGTAAAAGGGACACCTTCAACACTTCCCACTGCAAAGCACTTATCACCTGCATTGCAGGCTCCACTGACAATTTGATGTAGATTCATGCTTGTTAATTAATTTTACCACGACACTTCATCTAATTGGCTCCACTTAACAACGTAACTTTGCAGAAAGCTGCAGATATGTACATTTTATCATGTGATGGTAAATTAATTAGATTCGCCACAATTAAAGAACTCATTAAAGCTGTTTAGTATCTCACGTCAGCTGCTTTGACAATATTTTGACACTTGAGTATAGGCAACACTTATATCACTGAACATGTTGCATACTCTTTTGATAAACTCGAGAACTTTTCTCAGTTTTCAAAAACATTTAAACATTTAAAGCAAGATATTTTAAGTTTTGAAATTTTTAGAATACAGCTTTTTGAACTTAATATTTCTAAATCTGTACTCAAAAATTACAAGATATAAAAAAGAAAGATTATAAACTCCATCCACTTCAAAAAAGAACTTCACTTTTCTAACATTCAAAATTAAAATAAAATTAATTGTCTTGGTTAAACATCGACCACACGCGATATTAGTAATAATTAAAAACTAATTAGAAAAAAACAAAAGGCAAATCGATAATATTTTATTTCTGTAAACCTGATTTCATTTTAAAAATAATTTAAAAAGTTTTGTAAATAACTCAGCAAGTGGATTATCTAATATAACAGTATGTAGATAAAACAAACGTATTAGCTACCATATAAAATAATTATTAAGTATATGTTCATAAAATTTTTAGTTCACCTGTACATTTAATCAGTAAAAACTCATTAATACTTTAATTAATATGTGTAAACAAGTATTGCATTTAAGCAATATGTACAATCTATTACTTTTTCTCTATTTCAATGACATTTATAAATTGCTACGTTTATAATACGTGTATACATATATTTTATATAATAATAACTAAAATATAAAAAATGGTTAACAGTGT